ATGGGGGGAGAAGAAGGGGAGAAGAAGAGAAGATTACGGGGGAGAAGAAGGGATTACAGGGGGGGAGGGGAGAAGATTACGGGGGGGAGGGGAGAAGAAGACAAGATTACAGGGGGGAGAAGAAGCGGAGAACACAGGGAGGGGGGCAATAAGAGGAAAACACGGGGGGAGAAGAAGAGGAGAACACGAGGGGTGGGAGATGAGAAAGTAGGGGAGGGAGAGACCACTAAAGGAGGGAGGGGGCAGTGGAGAGACCGCTAAGGGAGGGGGGTGGAGGATAGACCACTAGGGGAGGGTGGGGGGAGAGGAGAGACCAGTAATGGAAAGTCGGGGAGAAAAGGAGACCACTAAGGGAGGTGGGGGGGAGAGGAGAGACCACTAAGGGGCAGGGGAGATCTCTAAGGAATGGAAGGGAGAGCTCTATAGGACAGGGGGACAGGGAGCTCTTTCACACCACGGGCACACACACACACACACACACAATGCATCCCTATACACACAGAAACACAACATGCTTCCCTTACACACAGAGAAACACACAATGCAACCCTTACACATAAAGACAATGCATCCTTTGCACATATACACAGAACACACACAATGCATCCCTTACACACACATGCAAACACACACTGTTTCTCTTACACACACACACAAAACACAATGCATCTCTTACACACACTCAACACACCCCTTACAGACACACACACTGCATCCCTTACATACACAGAAACACACTTTGCATCCCTTATGCATACAAACACAGATTCACACAATGCATCCCTAACACACAACAAGAAACACACACAATACATCCCTTATACACAAACACTCACTGCTTTCTATCCCTTACACAAACAACACTGCATCACCTACACAAACTGGTATCCCTATACACTACATTCCGTAAGCACACACATTATATCCTCTACAGTAACACATAACACATCCCCTACACACTCTACTCCCTGTGAGTTCATGGGTGGAACATGTAGGTGGCCTTATGGGTGGGCTTTATGGGCAAACTCACCGTCAGGCCCTGGGGCCCAGACCTTGAGCTATGTAAGAGGCCCCCAAAAATGGAGCTGCTTCCCGTTCTCCCAGAACATTGAATTTTGTGACCACAGTTGCAAACAGCCTCCAGAGATCCTGTTCTAGACCAGTGGAGCCAGACTGCAGCCAGAGCCCATCACCATCCTCATCTGATTGTAAGTAGGCAATCTAGTATATTACTAGTGACACTAATCTCTAATTTACCTCACATTAAATGGACACTATAGTCCCCAGAACCACTGCAGCTTAATAAAGTTGTTCTGGTGTCTATAGTTTGTCCCTGCAGGCTTTTTAATATAAACACACACTGTGTGCAGCACTGGCATTAGTTCATATGGGTGAGGCATTGCGATGTTCCAGGGGGGAGGGGGGGCGGCAAATCTTTCTTTTGCCTAGGGCGGCAAAAATCCTTGCACCGGCCCTGCCTACACACTCCACCCCCTGTGAACAAACTCATTGGTGGAACATGAAGGTGGACCCTGGGACCCAGACCTTGAGCTGTGTAAAGGGCCCCCCAAAAATTGAGCTGCTTCCCGTTCTCCCAGACCATTGATTTTTGTGACCACAGTTACAAACAGCCTCCAGAGAGCCTGTTCTACACCAGACCAGTGGAGCCAGACTGCAGCTAGAGCCCATCATCATTCTCATCTGGTTGTAAGTAGGCAATCTAGCATATTATTCATAGCACTAATCTTTAATTTACCTCACATTAAAGAATCACTATAGTCCCAAGAACCACTGCATTAATATAGTGGTTCTGGTGTCTATAGCCTGTCCCTGCAGGCCTTTTAATGTAAACACAGCGGCACTCCAGCATTGGCGTTAGTTAACATGGCAGATCATATGGGTGGGGTATTGTGATGTCACATGGGGGGGCCGCAAACTTTACTTTTGCCTAGGTCAGCAAAAATTCTTGCACCGGCCCTGGCCGAGTGTCACGTGATTACCCGGCGCTCAGTCTGACACTGCGCCTGCCAGACATCCAGAGGTCCCCCTGCTATGTCAGGTAAAAGGGGGGACAAAGGTAGAAAAATAATTGGAAGAGTTTAGGGGGGCTACTAATATGGATGGGGGGAGTGGTAGGTAGAAAAATAATTGGAAAGGGTTAGGGGAGCTACTAATAAGGATAGGGGGAGAGGGGTAGGTAGAAAAATAATTGAAAGGGTTTAGGGGGGCTACTAATATGGATGGGAGGAGGGGGGAAGTAGAAAAATTATTGGAAGGGGTTAGAGGAGTATTACTATGAATGGAAGGGGTAGGGTGGGTTCAAATATGCATGGAAGGGGTTAGGGGGTACTAATATGCATGGAAGGGGTTAGGGGGGTACTAATATGCATGGAAGGGGTAGAGGGGTTAATATGCGTGGAAGGGGTAGGTGGGGTTATTTTGTGCATGGAAGGGGTAGGGGTGATTCTAATATTCATGGGAGAAGTGGATGCAGTGGCGTACTAAGGGGGGGGCGAGGGGGGCGGTCCGCCCTGGGTGCCACCAGGATGGGGGGTGCCATGACCAGCCCCGCCGCCCCCCCCCATGCTGCAGCCGCCCGAGCGCTCTGTAGAGAGCCTCAGGCGGCTGCAACTTTGCCCGGGCGGTGCGTCCATGAGGGCGGACCGCACCGCCCGGGCGCAGCCTGAGGAGAGGGGCTGACAGGAGAGAAGCGTTCAGCGCACCCTCCTGTCAGCTTCCTTTGCTGTAGCGTGGCCGAGCCCTGCAGCATTGATGGTCCGACGGGTACAGAGAGCAGATTGTCTCCTGTACCCGGCCGGACTAACAGGAAGTGCACACTGAGTGGGCACTTCCTGTTAGTCCGGCCGGGTAGAGGAAACAAAAGCTCCCTGTACCCGCCGGCTATACTGGGATCGGCCACGCTACAGGGAGGTAGGGGGGGGGTGAGAGAGGGGTGAGAAAGAGAAATAAGGGGTGAGAAAGAGAAAGGAGAGGAGAAAGAGAAAGGAGAGGGGGGGGTGAGAAAGAGAAAGGAGAGGGAAGAGAAAGAGAAAGGAGAGGGTGAGAAAGAGAAAGGAGGGGGGGTGAGAGAGAAAGGGGAGGGAGAAAGGAGGGGGGAGAGAAAGAGAAAGGAGGGGGGGAGAGAAAGAGAAAGGAGGGGGGGAGAGAAAGGAGGGGGTGAGAAAGGAGAGAGGGGGTGAGAGAGAAATTAGGAGGGGGAAGAGATATTAGGAGGGAGGGAGAGATATTAGGAGGGGGGAAAGAGAAATTGAAATTAGGAGGGGGGAAGAGATATTAGGAGGGGGGAAAGAGAAATTAGGGGGGGAGAGAAATTAGGAGGGGGGGTGAGAAAGAGAAATTGGGAGGAGGAGAAGGAAATTGGAGCGGGAGGAGAGATTGACATTCATCACATACACACAATGCACCCCTTGCACACAGAAAAACACACAATGCATTACACACACAGACACACATACACAAGCAATGCAACCGTTACACACAATGCATCCCTTACACACACAGAAACACACAATGCATTCATTACACACACTCAATGCACCCCTTACACACATTCAATGCATCCCATACATACAAAGAAACACACCTTGCAGCCCTTACACATACAAACACAATTTCACACAATGCATTCCTTACACACATATCAGGACATCCCCTACACACTCCACCCCCTGTGAACAAACTCATTGGTGGAACATGAAGGTGGACCCTGGGACCCAGACCTTGAGCTGTGTAAAGGACCCCCAAAAAATGGAGCTGCTTCCCGTTCTCCCAGAACATTGATTTTTGTGACCACAGTTACAAACCGCCTCCAGAGAGCCTGTTCTGCACCAGACCAGTGGAGCCAGACTGCAGCTAGAGCCCATCATCATCCTCATCTGGTTGTAAGTAGGCAATCTAGTATATTATTCGTGGCACTAAGCTCTAATTTACCTCACATTAAAGAAACACTATAGTCCCCAGAACCACTTCAGCTTAATGTAGTGGTTCTGGTGTCTATAGCCTGTCCCTGCAGGCCTTTTAATGTAAACACGGCGGCACTGCAGCACTGGCGTTAGTTAACATGGCAAATCATATGGGTGGGGCATTGTGATGTCACATGGGGGGGAGGGGGGCAAACTTTACTTTTGCCTAGGGCGGCAAAAATCCTTGCACCGGCCCTGGCTGGAGGGGGCTGTGGCAGTACAGCTCACACAAGCAAACAGCTGATAAACTGGCCGCACGGAGGAAATGTGTATGTGTGACTGTCTGCCTGTGACTGTACTGTCTGCCTGTAACAAATTGTAAAAAAAAAAAAAAAAGAGAACCTTTACATTTTTTTTACAGGTTTTTTTGGGAAGCACAGGATCCGCCCCGGGTGCCAAATGCTCTAGGTACGCCCCTGGATATATGAAGATGGAACTATGTAATATAATGTCAGAGGAATCTTTAAAGGGACACTATAGTCACCAGGACAATGACAGCTTATTGAATTTGCTCTGGAGAGTAGAATCATTACCTTCAGGCTTTTTGCTGTAAACACTGTCTTTTCATAGAAAATGCAGTGTTTACATTACAGCCTAGTGATAACTTCACTGGTCACTCCTCAGATGGCTGTTAGAGATCCTTCCTGGATCATGGCTGCCTAAAATGCATCTAAACATTCAGTGTCTCCTTCCTCTGCATGCAGACACTGAACTTTCCTCATAGAGATTCATTGATTCAATTGATTCCAGCAGAAATAATTTAAATCCACAGAGGGGATAGTAGTGAGCACTGGTATTGATTATGAGTAACAAATTGTAGACATAAAACAATGAGAACATTAAAATCAAAAAGATCAGTAAATTCACAACGCAAAGGACTACAAGGTCCAGGGTACACTGCGCGGCCGAAACCGTAATTTTAGGATGACGATAAAATGAATTAGATAAGAGTCCTTACCTACAAGTATATTAAAGAACTAAAATGAACTTTCTATAATTTCCGTTCTTTAATAATTATTTTAATAGGTGCACTAATGATTGTAATATCAATATATCATATACAAAAAAGACCATATAATGCCTCAAATACAGTAGCATGAAAAGACTGTTTGTTCGTGATATTTTCTTCTGTATTTTTAAATGTGCTATGTATAATTTGCTTGTTTTACAACTTAACTGAAGGCATTGCCCAAATAGTTCTTATAGGGTCAGTATTTTTTTTATAAATTCTCATCCCAGTTTTGGCTATATATAAGGGAACAGATATACCTTATTAGTAGATGAGTTAGAAAGAATCCTGTCTACTATTACATGTAAATGTTATAATATCCTAAAAGTTCCTACTGTGCCTTCGTGGGCAGCTCTCTGTACTTCTAGATAAAGTCTAAATATCTTGCTGCCCAAATTTGCTAGGGTTCCATCACCCACAATAAAGTGTCAAAATGTTAAAACCAAAATAATATTAACTGTACTCCCAAGTGTGATCAATCAAGATCATACTAGTGATGATAACCTAAAATCAATTTGTTAAAAATGCTGGGAGCTATCCAGATATCTTACGGGTTTGGACCCCAGTAGATTTGGGCTGCCCTAGGGATAGGAAGATATTTAGAATTTTTCTAGAAGTGCAGAGAGGTGCCCTCAAAGGCACAGTATGAATAAGAGAGTACTCAGTACAATATCACATCAGGTATCTTCTGGGTAAACTGATTAGGAGAATGTTTTCTAATTAGTTTTTTGTTTTTTTAACCTAAATTTACTGTTTTTTGGGTCAATAATCAGCAATTCTGGGGTTATTCAAAACTCTCACAGTCTTTACATTGAAATTTGTTTTATGATGTACACAGATTGATGTGATTTTTTTAAATTATATAATTTATTTCAGAAATATCCTTTATGTTGAAAAAAAAAAATAATCTAAAATAGAAAGCAACCTCCCTTCAAACTTTCTTTTAAAGTTAATCATTAATGTGCGAACTGTGAGAAATTCAAATTGAAACCCACATTTTAGGCCAAAATATTGTTATTTGTAAATTGCTTAAAATTTCTCCGATCTGCCCTGGCCCTGGCCATATCCCCACTCACACCCCTAAAGTTAAACATGTCCCTATTTGTCCTTTTGAAGGAGGAATTCTGAATTGGAAACACAACTGGCTTTTAGTGCTATTCAGTAAATGTTAAATTGCATCATATTTAAATCTGAATATCAAAAATAGCTTGAATGGAAAAATACAACTTAACTGTGACTGGTAAACATTTTGCTATTCAGATTAGAATTTAAAGGTTAGTAAATAATTCGCTGTGCCTTAAAGCAATTAATCAATTAAAAAAGACAGCAGATGTATAGGTGTCTTATGGAATCAAGGGAGTGGGGAAAAGCAAACTAAACACTGATAAGATTAACTTGAGGATTGGTAAATATTGCTTATTTGGTTCACACATTTCACATGATATGGATTGCAGGGGTGGGGACAATGTTTTACGTTGTATGTTTGAACATACATTGACTGCTGTAAGTTTTCAGTCGTGCTTACACAATTTGCACCCAGTCTTATGGAATGTGACCCAGTTCAAAATGTGTAGAATCTCTTATTAAAGGGACACTATAGTCACCTGAACAACTTCAGCTTAATGAGGTTGTTCAGGTGAGAACTATAGCTCCCTGCAGCCTTTCTGATGTAAACACTTCTTCATTTCTGAGAAAATACAGTGTTTACATTGAAAGCTAGGAACACTTCCAGTTGCAGTCAGTCAGAGTGAACCAGAGGGACTTCGGAGTTGGTAGAGGCATAATATGCCTCCATCCACTCAGATCTGCTGTCAGCAGAGCACAGGGCAGCACTGTGCACAGCATCCTGTGATTTAGTATCTCCTCCCTCTGCAGACACTTAACTTTCCTCATAGAGATTCATTGATTCAATTCATCTCTCTGAGGAGATGCTGATTGGCCAGGGCTGTGTTTGAATCATGCTGGCTCTGCCCCTGATTTGCCTCCTTGTCAGTCTCAGCCAATCCTATGGGGAAGCACTGTGATTGGATCAGTCTACCACATGTCAGCAGACTGCTTGTTTTTCTGAGTCTAACAGCATGCAAATTTACAGCTTCAGGCTTGAATACAGAAAGATTTTTTACTATATTTATGGAGGTATGAGGGGCCCAGGGGGGCTAGATGGTGGTGTTAACACTATAGGGTCAGGAATACATGTTTGTGTTCCTGACCCTATAGTGATCCTTTAAGCTGTAAGAAGCCAAGGTATTTTCATGGAACTAAAAACTGAATTTTTTTCTGCCGAACACCGCTGAAACAACGGGATGCCTGGCTGCCTCCACGAAAACGTACGAACACCGGCCGTTCGGGAGTTTAACAGCACATGAAAAGACTTAACCCAGATGGCCCTCCCATGGAGTCAATCGCATACCGAAAGACTGTAAGAACTTTGACTCCATGGCGATTGAATTAAATTGAAGAAGAAGACGCATAACACAACTGCAATCACCTGCTAAGACGAACCCCACACAACACAGACACCAGGGAACAATCCGAGAGACTAAAGCAGACGAGTACGGACCGAACAAGACACAACGGCGCAACACAAACAACCCCCCAACATCCAACACGACCACGTGGGGTATGAGCTACTACAACGGCATCCCCCACCAAAAAAAAAACCAAAACAGACAAACACACTAACACAACTGTCAAACACTTAGAACAAACGCAAGACCGAAGTAATGGAAACACCCCAACCCGAGGAGCTACACAGCGACAACTCAAGGATGCAAAACCACTTGACACATCAGACACCGTGCCACCCACTACATCCCAACGGACCCCGCAAAAACCACGACAACAAGCAATACAATACATGACGGGAGGGGCCACTGTGGAGTTAGCCGGAAAATTGCCAAATAAGTGACAGCAACCCAGACTCTCAATACGCTACAAACACTCACACCACACCTCCACACAAAGATCAACCACACACAGCCTTAAGAATGATCCAAACGCAATCAACATGGGCAGACCCCCCATAGATGCGTCAAGAAGCGCTACAACACACGATGAGACCCAAAACATGCACCAGAATACGCACCACAACCACCGAACAACACACACACACAGGCAAAACAACACACAGCACGCTATATATGTCAGATGATAAGGCCGCAAATGATATGATCAAACTGCCTCTGCGAAGGCGACTAAACGTTACAGTAAAGTACAATTGTAAACCAAGCCTCTGACATGACACCAATAAAGATATTTAAAACAAAGAATTCACAAAACACCAATTATATTTTTTTAACTTTCATTTATTTATTTTTGCTAGACTAATAATGATAGGTTCTCAAGGAGGAGGAGCAAAAAACAGACAAGGTAAATGGCAAACTGTAAACCTTTAGGAGTAGTAAAATGCCGTTGCATTCAGCATATGCCCCAAGGAAGGAGTGTGTGAGACAGGTAAGCCCGTGATGGCCCTGGGTATAAGTGATGTAAAGACGTTGCAGAATCCAACTCAATAGATTAAGAGCTGCCTCAAAATTTTAGATTCCTAATCAGAATCCTGGGGTATCATGAACTGTGGTGTTCTCAACCAAACATATAGAGATAGTAGGGAAAGGAAATGCTCCAAGGCTCAGTAGGGAAATGGTAGGTAAGATCTGTGTCATCTTGCTAAAAAAAAATAAAAAACGCCACTGTGGTAAAGTTCTGACAAGCCGCACACGTGGTCCTTGCCCCAAAGAGTTCCAGAGTGTTTGGTGCTTTTGTCAGTCA